GTTACCGGCGGCGACGTACTCAGCGGCGGAGGCTGTAGGCGGCGCCGTCCTCGGCGACGGAGGTTGGAGGCGGCAACGTACTCGGCGTTGAGACTGAAACGATTTCTACAGTTCTATTCTCCGTATGTTCTGAGGGGAATAAGTTTTTGCGCCAAGGTAATTAATTTGTTTTGAGAGGGAATTATTTTACTATTTACGAGGGAGAGAAATTTTTTACAAATTGTGCAAGTCTTGAAAGTTAAATTTTTAATTAAAGAATTATATATATATATATATATATATATATATATATATATATATATATATATATATATATATAAGCAAAATAACGATACCTTTATCTTTATTATCTTATAATAAGTCTTATTATTTTTCTAAATTAAATTACTAAATTCACGATTTTATAAGAATTGGGAGCACTATAAATCGAGTATATAGGTACAGAACATGGGTAAGAAAATAATAACTTTATTATCAGGGGCGCTAGACCCAAAATAGTATTGGGTATATAGATACAGAATGGAGAGTAAAAAATAGTAGCTTTATTACCCGGGGTGCTAGGTCCAAAATAGTACGTATAAAGTCCGAGGTATAGGCCCATACTGACAGCCCAATTACAAATATCCAAATACAAATATCACCACCAATTTTTCTTGTAGCCCAAATACAAAGATCACTAGACCAGGGTATTACCCAGACAGCTGGCGGTCCAATTATTACAAAGATCGCGGCAAAAGAAATGGGTTATAGCTAACTGTACGATATTAACTACTCTTTCATATCCATTCTCCATGTGTCCCATTCATGCCGGAAGGGTCGATTACCAACCTCGGCCCCTATCATACCGCTATTAACTCCTCCACACCATACCGCACCATACCGCACAGCACGGTGCCGTTCTATGCCATGTAATTTAATGAATTGAAAATAAAACTTTAATGAATTGACATTGAAATTTTGGTGAATAATTTTATATTTAAATATGAACGAAAATAGAACTATTAAATTAACTTTTGAATTGTATTCTTTCTTTGTTAAATTTTTATGCATTCTATTTGGACAAAAAAATTTAATTACATTTTTATTTTTGTTCTGGATCTTCTAGATAAAAACAATGAAAGTCCAAATTATAGATAAAAGATAAGGTGAACACTTTTAAACAAGAGTTGGTGTGGCTTGGTGGGTTTAGCTTTGTTTGTTATGTTAGAGGTCTTAGGTTTTATCTTTCCGGGTGGCATCCTTAACCTATACAATCATTGTCTTGGTTCTTAGAGACAATACGGAAGTAAACTGGTTATATCCTAGATATTGTGCTTAAATACATAAGTGTTAGTGTGGTTTGGTGGGCTTAACTTAGTTTGTTATGTTAGAAGTCTCGGGTTTTATTCTTCTTAGGGGCATCTTTAACTTATTTTATAAAATCGTTGTCTTGATTTTCACAGACAACACAAAAGCAACACAGTTATATACCAGATGTTGCACTTTAGTATATAAGAGTTTGTGTTGCTTAGTTGGTTAAACCTTATTTGTTATGTTTGAGGTCATAGGTTTGACTCTGGTTGTTAACATCTTTGTTTTTATTTTATACAACTGTTGTCTTTTATAAAATAACGATGCGCAAAGACAACGGTTTTTTGTTCAAATACGCTTAAAGACAACATACCAAAGACAACGGTTAAATAAAACCGTTGTCTTAAACAAATAAAGAACGCGCAACGACAACGGTTATATTAAACCATTGTCGTTGTAGTATTGTTTATTCAAGTGCTATTAAAGACAACACATAAATGACAACGGTTAAATAAAACCGTTGTCTTTTAAAAAATAATAATGCGCAAAGACAACGGTTTTAAAAAACCGTTGTCTTTGTAGTGTTGTGTATTCTAGTGTGCTTAAAGACAACACACCAACGACAACGGTTAAATAAAACCGTTGTCTTTTAAAAAAAAAAAAAAAGAGCGCACAAAGACAACGGTTTTAAACAACCGTTGTCTTTCTAGTGTTGTGTATTCCAGTGCGCTTATAGACAACACACCAACGACAACGGTTAAAAAAACCGTTGTCTTTTTTTTTTTTTTTTAAATGCACATAGACAACGGTTTTAAAAAACCGTTGTCGTTGTGGTGTTGTCTTTTCATAAAATGCACAAAGACAACACACTTATAACAACGGTTAAGTAAAAACCGTTGTCTTTGATAAAAGTGTTGCATCAAAGACAACGGTTTTGGACCAAACTGTTGTCTTTTATACAAAAGACAACACTTCTCTTAAAAACTGTTGTCTTTCTAGTGTTGTCTATGTGCATTTTTCTTGTAGTGTCAACTGGAGTATTGTGGACTTCATCTTTTCAATGAGTGAACATTGCAAAATTATATTGACTCCACAAGATATTGACTTTAAATGAGTGAATTGATTAAGAGTTCATCATTTTAACAGTTTTGATTAGAGATTTTATCACATTATAGTGCCACGTGTTACATGCCTTGATTTGATCTACCTGTCCCATTATATTTGGCAAATCTTTCTCCATGGCCGACATGCGACAATTATTCATGTTACTAATAAGCATCCTAGGCCAGACATTTAGTCGTATGATGTTTAGTAGTGAAGCTGGACATCCCACAACTTCAAGCCACGTATGTCCACCAACTATATTATAATCTTGTTAATCATTCAATTAAATTATTTTTTTGATAATCCACAGTACATTTCCAACTAACCAACTTCATTGAACTATATGCTCTAGACTCTATGAATCCATCTCAAATTAATTATGAGAAGATGATCAATCGAGTTAATATATTTTTGAGACTCAATACCAAACTATACATTTTTCATACGGAGTAATGGATATCTGATGAGGATATATGTCAGTGGGTTATGTTTGGTGGGTCAATTGGTTGGGTAAGGGAGGGGGGTTTCGTGAATTGGGTGGGCTAGGGAATGGAGTGTATAAGTGTATTAGCTCAGGAAGACGGCATGTGGAGGTTGGAGGCGGTGGTGTTGCCATTGGCGCCTGGCTGGCCGCTTGGGCCGCCGGAGGGCACGTTGGCCCCCTACAGTTGGTGCGTGCCTAGCGCACAAGGTGCGCCTCGACCGCGTGACCCGTTAGGTTGTGGCCGCGCCACGACTATTGTAGATCGTGGTCAGGCGGGGGTTGGGGGTCAAGTTTGTGTCTGACCGCCTCCGCTTGCCACGACATGGTCGACGGGGTTGGTGCGCACCTCATCTCGTCGTCGGTGCCCCTCCGACCAATGCCCGTGGTGTGGGATCGAGAGGGGGTTGACATGCGTGGTGCATGTGATTAGTGGAGGTGAGAGACGTGGTACACATGGTTAGTGGATGAGAGATTGTATTGATTACCGTACACGTAGATGGCATTGTAAGGTTAAGGTGTACCATAAAGGGGAGTGTTTTGCCTCCTCCAGGACATCCTGGTCGAAACACTACAAGCTTACTAGTTGAATTGTCTCCTATCTTCTCCGCCAAGTCGCCAACCCACACTTCAAAGTTCAATCCCTAGCTGCAGTATTATTATCTCTAAGCCATTGTTTGGACTACGACCTACGGCTTGTGTTGTTTATTCATTGCCTAGGGCGCCGTTTTGAGCCCGTATCTTGGGCTTTGTATATACTCTTTGGACCTAGCGCCCCAAACAATAATACCACTATTTTTCTACCTATTGTTCTGTACTTCTATACCTGATTTTGATAAAACACAATCAATTAATTTAATATCTCGTGTATATGTACTATACTACTATATCATTTCTTTATACATACATCTTTTACAATGTAAGGCCCCATCAAAGTTCTTTATTCCAATAATTGATCTAAGAATCATGTAAGAGAAATCAGCATTTCACACCAAAAATAAATGGACACCATTTCATGCTCAGAAAAGTTTCATGTGGCCCAGCCCAAATGATCCCTCTAAGGTTCCTGGATTTGGTCCTAAATAGAAGGCCCAAATGAGATGGGCTTGAGGAGTAGTAAATTGGGCATTTTGTCTTCCCACTTTAATTGTACATGGACCTAATGATTTGGTGGCAAATTATTATTATTATTATTATTATTATTATTATGGTTTACACAGTTACGTAGATCATAAATTTAAAAAATTATATTTTTAATATATTAATTGTATATTATATATATACTAAATGTATATTATCTGATAATATATAAATAATATATATTCAATACTTAAATAATGTGAACTTAGTAAACAAATAAAAGTGAAAGACGCTTAAATTTGGATTAAAATGTCAAAAAGTGAAAAGAAAAACCATTAACATTGGAGACTGATAAAATAATATGGTTGGCCAGCAGCTGTACGGCAGTAACACTTTTTCCAAAAAGACCAATAAAAGAAACCAAGAAAAGTGACTCAACACTCCACTTTCCTGAGTCAAGTTCGAATATTATATATTTAACAATAACAAAGATCTTGTAATTAAGCTGTATAATAATTGTGACTCTTTTAAATAGAAGGTTTCAGGTTCCAACCTAATAAAGACAAAGTATGTATGTACAAAGCTCAATCTTTATATCAAAACATCACTTTATTAGTCCAACTACTCAAACTTAATTTTAATTTGAGCGTTCCATGAATTAAATTAAAAAATCAATCCACTGTAATCAATCATAAATAATTGAATTATCAAAATATTCCGTTATCAATTATAAAATTAAATTATTAGTTAATTAAGACTGTCTTGATAATTTAGTGCTCGGTAAAATTAGAAGTATGTAACGATCAATCATAATTTATGACGTAAAATAAAAATAAACTTTTGGTCAGTTTATAATTATTTATAATTTTTTTAATTATTAATCGAAAATAAATTGAGATAGAGCTTTGCACGACTATTGCACGTCATTCAAAATAAATTAATGCATTAGTATGTAAAAAAAACGTGACCCACATGTTGGAATCGGGTTTATAACGGAACCCGGACCCGGATTACTAACTCCGTATACTGTCCGGTAATTACAGTATTGAAGCGATCATCTATCTGGACTGGACACTGCAGCACAGATCGCGGCGTAAGCCCGACTGACGGAGAAGAAGATGCTGACGTCACTACTCCGCCACAACCACCACTCGTTAAACGCTACCCCGAATTCATCCCAGTGCTTAACCTCAATCGGAAATCTATATTTCAAGACTGCCCTTTTGATCTGAACTTTACTCAATCGCTTCCAACTCCGTTTCGGCGGCTTATGTAGGAGATCTGCTCGACTTCACTTTTCTAGCGTCTGCTCTTTACTTTCTTCATCTGGGAAAGAGCGTTCTATCTGTCTCGATCAATTATCAGTGGAGATTCTTTCATTTCTCCGCTCCTTTTGTTCAAAGTTTGCAACTTTATCTTCGTTTATCACTGATCATCGTTTCTCATCGCGATTTATTTATTCATGAATTGATGAATTGATAATCGATAAGGAACTGAAATTAGTCTATGAATTCACGGATAAACTTGGTTTTCGAAGGTGAGGGCATCGCTCCGTTTGTTACTGATGTGATTTAGGATTTTTTTTGGGGGGTTTGTTTCTGCGTGCGGGTTGTGTGTGTAGGAGCTGATGCGGAAATGTCTTTTAGAAGTATAATTCAGGACATGAGGGGTGAGTTTGGGAGTATTTCTCGGAAAGGGTTTGATTTGAGGTTTGGTCGGTCGAGGTCTCAGAGGACTGTCCAGGATAGCTTTGTGGGGGAGATGGATGCTTTAAGGCAGAGCTGCTGGGCAAATATGCCACCAGAGCTTTTGAGGGATGTGCTTGTGAGGATTGAGGCATCTGAATCTACTTGGCCTCCGAGGAAAAATGTGGTTGCTTGTGCTGGGGTTTGCAGAAACTGGAGAGAAATCATGAAAGAAATTGTGAAAACCCCAGAACTTTGCGGCAAATTGACATTCCCCATCTCTCTGAAGCAGGTTTGATGTTGGTTCTATTAAAAGTGCAATCTTTTTACTCTTTTCAGCTCTTTTCAGATGCAATTGCTTTATTTGCTTTGTTCTTTGTTAATGTTAGATTGTATTTGGATATGTTTTATGAGAATCTTATGGCTGTGGGGTGCTTAAATGCTTGCCAAAGAGAGTGAGAGAGAGAATCCAGACAAGAAAGAGCAATAGTACAGACCTGAATTGCTTATTTTGTGCCAACAGAGTGCTATGTTCAACTGGTTGCTGTTCCTTCTAAAATTGGCAAATGAAGTTTCCTCAATTGCATTATTTCCCTTGTCTTATATCCATCAATATTGCATGACTAGGATACTTTTGATGTGTGATTAGAGTTCTTATCCTTTTTGCTTAAATGTTTTCTCAGTTTTAAGGTTTGCAAATTGTAATGAATTGGAGAAATTAAGAAAAGATTTCATTTTAGTAGGGAGAGATGAGGGGGGAACTGCAGTTTGTATACAAAGAATTCCACTGCTATCATTCTGCCTGGCAAGAAACTATTGTAAATTTGTAATAAAATTCAAAGTGGAAACTTCCCTTAAAAGAATAGCAGAAAATGAGCTGGCTGAAGGAATGGTGGTACAGAATTTCTCTGCCATATATGGAGAATTTTAGTGCCGTATATTCCTTTAATACTGCATCGCAAGCAGATATCGAAATCCAAATCCAAGGCAGCTATATTCCATTTCCTTTTCGCTATGCTTCTATTTTATTACTTTTGTAGTTTTGTTATATTGATGATGGGTCAAGATGCAATTATGGTTTGGTGATTAAGTGAAGCTGTACACTTTTCTGCTGTCACATGTACCTAAGTAGTAAGTACTTAATGAAGTGCAAGATATCTTTGTTAGAAATACTAATGTGGTAAATGGTAATTCTTTAATTGTGATTCACAAGTAGAACTGTAGAAGTTATAAAGCATCAGTTCTACAGCCGTTATTTATTTGTTATATAAATTGTTATATCTTCCCTGTTATCTTTTTAAAATCAATGATTTCTCTTTTCTCCTTTGGCCCTGTTTGGTAAATGGTTGTTAGCTGATTGGGTTAATTAGAGGGTATAACTAGTTGATAACATTAGCTGATTTTAGAAAGGTGTTTGGGTAAATTAGCTGATAGTTGTTTGGTATAATTTCCTTTCTCAAAAAGCTAATTGAAAAAGTTACTTTGAGCAGCTTTTTGAATTTTAGCATTTTGGAGTTACAAAAAACTAATTAACCAAACACTTATATTGATTTTTTAAACAAATCAAAACGCTAATAGTGGTCAAATAAGCCAAAATTGGCCTATTGCACTCTCATGTGTATACAATAGAGTTGCACTTCCTTGAAATTGAAATGAAATCTTTACATCAATGTTATATGAGATTATGAGCATTCTTTTTTTGGTCTGCACATATGGCAATTAAGGCATTCTTTTTTTAGTTGTTTATTTTCCTTTTTTTTTTTTTTTTTTTTTTTTTTTTTTTTTCTGGAGGTTGGGGTTGTGATTCCTATTGAGTTAATAATTAATATATTTCTTTTTTACTGTCTTTTGCAGCCCGGTCCAAGGGGCACTCTCTGCCAATGCTTCATAAAGCGTATCCGCAGCTCCCAAACATATCATCTTTTTCTAAATATAAGTCAAGGTGAATATTTAGTCAATTATTTTGGAATGACCATCTAGCATAATAACAATATATGTACTATCGTGATACAAACTTGTAACCACAAGGTCACGAGTTCGAATCCCAGTCCTCTTTGTTTGAACTGGTCAGCTATGGGCAACTTATGCTAGTTTACCTTCTTGTGGTCCTTTGCCGGCTAGGGTCACAAGGCGGGGTTTACCCAGTGCACACCCTCGGGTAGTGGCTGTGGGTTTCCCTCGTCACCCCAAAAAAAATATATGTACTATCGTTACCTAACCTACCCCATAGTCTTGCCTTGGATTTCTTTGCTCGTCTCTCGTGTTTATAACACAAGCGTGGTGCTAACTATTTTACTGTCGTTGTCTTCCAACAGCTTCTAATGATGACGGTAAGTTCCTTCTTGCTGCTCAGAAGTGTAGACGCACAACGTGCACGGAATACATCATTTCTCTGAACCCTGAAGATGTTTCAAAGGGTAGCGGCACCTACATTGGAAAGCTCAGGTGAAACTCCATAGTGTTCTTTATTGTTTGTAGCTTATCACTTTCTTGCCGAATAACCACCCTCTTTGTTCGCCTCTTTGCAGATCTAACTTTCTGGGTACGAAGTTTGTAGTTTATGATGCACAGCCTCCTTCTGGAGCCAAGGTCACTAAATGCCATTCTACTACCCGGTTGGTGGGAGCAAAACAAGTCTCTCCAAGTATACCTGCCGGAAACTATCCTGTAGCTCACATTTCTTATGAATTGAATGTCCTGGGTTCTAGGTCAGTGATAATTGCTTACCTTCCATCTTTGGATAACTGAAAGTATATCACGTTTTGAGTAATTACTTTGTTACATGTTCATTAATTGAATCAAGAAATGATTGCATTGCCTTTTAAATACTATTCCATAAATGCCCGTAAATGGCCAAGGACCTTGTGGTCTAGTGACACCAAGTTGTTTCCCTATATGGGAGAAATTGTGGGTTCGAGCCTCAGTGGAGGCGGTATTGACTCTTTGTGCTTCAGTAGATTGAGAAAGTAGTCGGTATTGACTCTTTGTGCTTCAGTAGGTTGAGAAAGTAATCGGTATTGACTCTTTGTGCTTCAGTAGGTTGAGAAAAGTAGTTATGAACAGATACTGCATTGTAGCAGGGCCAGTAGTACTAAAAAGATGTTTTTTAATTTATATTTCTTTTGTGTTCAAAGGGGACCGAGGAGGATGCAATGTGCCATGGACGCAATCCCTGCTTCATCTGTTGAACCAGGAGGCGTGGCCCCGACACAAACGGAATTCCTTCCTGTCAACATAGATTCCTTCTCCACTTTTCCATTTTTCCGATCAAAATCAAACCGTATGGATAACTTCCAATCCGGACCTCTATCGGCTCAGAAAGACGAAATTCTAACTCTGAAGAACAAGGCTCCAGGGTGGCACGAGCAACTGCAGTGCTGGTGTCTTAACTTCAATGGACGAGTAACGGTTGCTTCAGTTAAAAACTTCCAGCTGGTTGCTTCTATGGGAGACGGGGTCGCACCAGAGCACGAAAACGTTATTCTTCAATTCGGGAAAGTTGGAAAGGACGTCTTCACCATGGATTATCAGTACCCCATCTCTGCGTTCCAGGCATTCGCCATCTGCCTCAGTAGCTTCGACACCAAAATTGCTTGCGAGTGATAATCAGGTGGGTTCTGCACTTCTGCTAATATATAGCCGATACCATAATGGATGCTTTTCTCGACTCTGGACGTGAATTTTTTTACTTGGAATGCTTGTAATACATTGTAACGTTTAAACATCCCGAATTCCTCAAGGCTTTAAGTTTTGTAGCCGTGTAGACAATTTATGAAAAAGGACTGGGCACATCTAATTAATAGTTGTCGTCAAGTCTCTCGGAGTGTGTTTCTTGATTGTAGCAGGTGCCTGAAGATGCATTAAGAGCTGCTCAGGAACACAGATGCACGAAGGTCATATGCTATCCAGATTAATGTTGTTGTCTTGATCCTCGTTTTGCTGTCTGGTTTGCCTTGTGTCTTTTCTCCATCTTCTGTAAATACATGGGGACGAGATTTCTTTGTTTTTACTGTAGTTTCCAGTTTTCAGATGGTGTGGCTTTTATGTTTTACAGCATGGGTATTCATTGCCTTGCAGATCTTTTACAGATTGGTGAATTTCTTGGGACTATGCTTTTCTTTAACTTTTTCTTTATAAAAACTTTTTCTTACAGACCCGCCAAGTATAATTTATTGACGAATCTCTGCACGGTAAGTCAAGCACGCTTAACTACAGAGTCCTTTGACTATTTGGTTGTCATATCTTACTTAAAACCAATTGGTGATAAGTAGGTGTACATTAACCATTTAACCATATCTCTCCAAGGTAAGTTACAACACCACGTCTCAAATTGAACTCGGCCAATTCAACTGGCGCCCAACAACCCTCCCAGCCAATCCCTGACACCCAACAATCTCCCTCTCAGCATCTGCCGCAACCGCAACTTTTGATCACGCAGCATGTCTGACTCGGTCCTTAGCCTTCCAACAATTTTACTGCATGTTGAGCGAGGAGATGTTTATCATAACAAGGTGGTCGGTATTACTGATCATTTCTGTAGGTGGTTAGTATTACCGAAAAAGAAAAGCCGAAAATTTTAACAATTCTGAATCAAATCCTGATCTCTGCATTCTAAAGCTCAAGACTTTTGCTGGCATTCTGTAAATACAGTAAATTTTCATCTGTATCTATCTGTGATTCTCAGCTACAAAGACACAACATTGATACAACAAATACTCCATACTAAAAGTTTACATCTAATAGAGCTATGTTCTGGTTTTACCAAGTTATACTATACATAAACACCTGCTTTAAAGACCTAAGTACTTCACACTTACATTCTCATCTCAATGATCTACCCAAGCTTCACTTGCTGTTAAATTCTTGACAAAACAACCTTTGAACACATCAACGCGTAGTACCAGAATCTCTTTGATCTATCTTGGCAAAACGCCCTTTGATTCTTATCCTAGTCTCTGCGCGAACTTTTCTTGATTCATACCTAATTTGCTTCTCATATCTGTCATGACCATATCAATAGAAAACCTTAGCAAACTGTCGAAATCACAGGTGATAACTGATAATTACACTCACTTATCTGTATAAAAAGTACTATGAGCTAATCACCGTGAAAAAATGAGCAAGAATGCATGCATATATATATATATATATATATATACCTCCTGGTTTTCTTTTTCTCCTTGTAACGAGAAATGGCTGTCTCTCTTTCCCGGCTGTTTAGCTCACGAGGAGCAACTTTATGAGGCACTTGGAAGGTTTCAGTATGGCTAGAATGGTTTGATTGCCCTTCGTTATGATTATTTGCTGCACCCGAACTATCGCCAACATCTGAATCTTTATCGGGAACCAAACAGGTTGTCTCGTTGAATCCTTGTAATAAGGTAGGACAAAACCCTTGATCTGCAAATTCACCAACATCATCGTACCACTGAAAGCCAGTTGTCTGCAGGCAGAGAGAACCATTACTTTCACTATTTAAAAAAATAGGAGAATCAACCAGTCAGGGTTAAAGAAACCTTACTTCTGAGAAAGGGACTAATGTAGGCTCCATATCCTGCTTAAACCCAGAATTTTTTTCTCCGAAAAAATCATTTAGGGGGCGTTTGGTTCGGGTTATATAGGATAACTAAGGTTATATTGGGTTAGTTATCTAACATTCCTATGTTTGGTTGGAGTTATATAACATTCCCTTGGAATCAAATATTGCCTCCACATCAGATTTTTCCTTGTTTGTGAGGGAATGTGATTCCCTTGTTCATCTTAGGTAATGTTAGATTCCCTTGCCATTTTACCTTCCTTGCCCTTCATGTTTGCAAGGTGATTTGTAATATGAGGGTATTAAGGTAAAATAACCATTATAACATAAACAACAAATCATCAACCAAACAGGTTTATATTACATAACTCAGTTTTTACCAAACACAGGAATCTAACATTCCCAGTAATCTAACATTCCCAACAATCTAACATTCCCTAAGGTAATCTAACATTCCGTGAACCAAACGCCCCCTTAGTTCATTTTCCATAGCTTGAATCCCCACGACGGGCTCAAATCCCTCTTGATCAGCACAGGGCCGTATTTTAAGTTTTGGTGGCCCTGTTCTAGTAAATAAATGTGGCCCTACCAAAATCATAATTTTTAAAACTAATACATGCAAGTTTCGAACCTTTGACCTCCAAGTTAAAATACAATAAATACACATTCTTACCATCTCTTCATGAAACCTTTAAAGTTTAATTGAAAACTTTTTAATTTTTATTTTTAAACTAGCTAGGTAAAAATTAAATATTGAACCTCTAAAATTTGGGGCCCCTCTAAAATTGGGGGCCCTGTGCGGTAGCCCAGCTTGCACAGCCTAAAATCCGGCCCTGGATCAGCACAGATATTGGGTTCCAATTTAGACATTTCGCGAAGCTGAGCAAGTATTTCTTCTTTGTGTTGTCCACAGGCAGCATTTCTGTTCTGCTTTCAGTAACAGTTTATATACCCAAACATGTTAGAATCAAGATTTTGTCACAGGCAATTGAGCATCAACATACTACCAGATTCAAGAATAACATATTTATTGACAAATCCTATAGGTCTTCTTAATTTGAGTCTGTCAGCTATGGACAACCTAGTCTAATTTGTCCTTTGCTAGCTAGGATCATAAGGAAACCTAAGAATAATCAAAGATCCTAAGTAGTAACTGGAATTAAATCCTAAACAACAGCAAATTAAGAAGCAAAATCATAGTTGAGAATTGTTAAAAAGAAGTAAAGCTGAGACCTTTGGAAGAGGAGGAACACCCATGGCCTGAAAATTGGGCTTAGAATCACTGGGAGCTATCAAGTCGTCAAGACTGACAACCGGGGGAGTGTCCCAAACCAGATAATCGGAAATCCCATCATCTCCATTAGAATCGTCGCCGGCGCCGCCGTAACGATCGTCGTCTTGAAGAAGGGCCTTTTTCCCGACATCCTGGAACCCGAAAACCGCCAGCAGTTCCGCGACGGAAGGGCAGCCGCTGAAGCCCTCGAGCGGGCGGCGGACGTGCGGCGCCGGCGAGAGGCAGAGAGTGTGGGACTCCCAGTCGCAGTTCTGGCAGAAGACGGCGGCGTGGTTGCAGCAGAAGATGGTGGCCGGAGAGGCATCGCAGGCGTCGCAGAGCAGGGAGCGCGTGTGCTTGGTGAAGAGAGGGTTCGTGGAGTGCACCTCCCGGTCGCAGCCGAGGCAGAGACTCGCCGAATCGGCTCTGCAGTACAGCACCGCCGTGGCCGACCCGCAGAAATCGCAGTTCCGATTACTCTTCCCCTCCTCCGCCGCCTCTTGCTCCTCTTTCAGCTCCGTCATCTCTGCAATTCAAGACTGCAACTTTCCCCCCCTCCTTTCAGCCCTTTCTCAAAACAACAAAAACCCCTCTTTTTCTTTCTTGAAAAGGAATCAAAAACAGAAATGGGAAATGGTTTAGGTAACCACTGGTCTACTCACTGTGACTGAGAAGATAGAGAGAGAAGGGATGGGAAATTGGGGAAATCTCTTGGGAGAATCGCAGATTTGAGATGACAGACAAGCTGACATCGATTAAGGATCTTTTTCGTTTTTTGTTGCAAATTTACTGCGCCACCAACTTCTAGCTAGAATAGTAGTACGCACTACCTTATCCACCTTTTCGGCAAAGATACATCTTTAAGGAAGGTGCGGTCGGCGGTTAAATAGCGGCCGAGTGGTAGTTGATAATATTATGGATTTATGGCGTCCCATTTGCATGGTAAACTCTAGACATTAACGACGCCGTTTCATTTTCAATAGATTCATGTTACCCTAATGCCTAGTATATTACTCATGAAATTCCAAGTTCGACTCCTTAGTAGGAACTGTCTATTGAGTTTTCTTATTTGACTCGGTCAGTTCTGAGTAATTTAGGCTGATTTTCCTCCTTATATTCCTTTATCGACTAAAGTGACAAGGGCATGGTCCACACAGTGTTGTGTGAATTATAATAAAAAGTACATTTTTAATATACTAAATGTACATTATTTTTGTACTGAATGTACATTATACAATATAGTGTACATTTAATACAAAAATAATGTACATTTCCTGAATACAATGTACATTATTTTTGTACTGAATGTACATTATTTTACAGTATACAAAATATGGTCCATACAATAATGATTGCGTTACAAGGTGTCAAGACAAATTTCGCTCAATAGACACATTTGAGTAATGATTGTAGGCTTTCTCGAGAATCAAAGTGATACGTAGTATGTTGATATATAATGAATTGTAGAACAAGCAAACTAGGGCGGGTTGGATGCAACTGAAATGGACGTATGGAGAAAAGGTCAAAGATTGCCTTAGATTTTTAAAGGGACCTTTGGGTGTGATATCAATTTTGTGTTCAATCTCATTGAGACATGATACCTCCTCAACTGTGGATTGTTCAAGAAGACTTTTCAAGACCAAGAATTAAATTAATGAGTATTATTGTTTTTTTAAAGCCAAATGGGCAGTCGTGTTATCTAGTAGGATGGTGCAAACGACAAGGAGAAATCCTAGTTGAGGTTGTCTTCTTATCTGCCACAATTTCCAGCATGTTCTGATAGTTAATGCACTGGGGTCCCTTCCCAACATTTTCCTGTGAAAAGGAACAAAAAGTCCTTTCATTATGGGCATGCGAAAGAATCACGGTCTCCCCACCCTTTTCATTCATCTGCCTAAGTTATGGCTCCTCTACTTATTTTTTACATCACAATAAGTCTTGTAAAGCGACATTTTTGTCTCCATTCTCTCAATGTAACTCAAACATTTTTCTTCCCTAAATCCTAAATACAATTCGACAAGAGTTTTACTTTGCTAGTAACTACGATTCAACAGAGATTTACGTCTCTAGACTAGTAGCCAAAAGAACCTGAACCTTAAATCCTAAACACGATTCAACAGAACTTTATTTCACATGTAACCACAAGAAAGACACCAGTGCCCTAAACGCTAAATCCTAAACACAATCCAATAGAGCTTTACGTTGCTGATAATCACACGATGGACACCAATATACTATGAAAAACCTGTAAACTATTGAAGTATATCGAGATTTAGGGACCTTAGTTGGGTCCAATCTTATAAAATATCAAATGGCTAAAGAGAAAGAAACTTTAGTTTAAAAGTTGCTGCTATAAAATAGTAAAAAATTGGTCCAATATGCCACAGATCTCCTTTACAGTTAAAGAGACCAAATGCAAGAACAAACCAACTAACATTGTCATGAAACTATGTTTTAAGCAATGAGAAAAAATGTCTAAAATCCAACTTCTCTAATCAACTGAACAAATGGTCATTCGCGATTTTCACTGGTTGCTAGGTTGCGGGTGTTGTATGAGTTGCAATGGCGGCATTTGTGGCCAATGACATGAAATCTTACGGTGCTGGTGTTATTGCAGTCGTTACACAATATTGGAACCTGCGACATTAAAACCAAAAACTAATGTTCATACAACGATTCTCGAGCACATGCCCACCAAAGCACATAAAGTTTATGCAAAAAACGACATATTTTGAAGTGAAGCTAAGCATGATTCATTGCTGGAAATTATGGAATTTCCGACCACCTGAAAGTGATCTTAAATCAAATCGAAAGCAAAAAGTGGTCGGAAATAGCAACAAAGGTTTTTCCGGATACCAAAAGTGGTCGGAACAAGGCTTTCGACTTGATTTAAGATCATTTCAAGTGGTCGTAAATTCCATAATTTCTAGCAGTGATTGCATTAATGTAAACAAAAGCACTTACTTCATAGCGGTATTCCTCGGGCATGATTGTAGCTTCAATCTACGCGCAAGAAAACATCAATCGATCAGTAAAATGGTCGGAATAAATCATATATATAATATCATTACTTGAATACACAAAGGCCTCGAGAAAAAGGACAGATGACAAGAGAGTTCCAAGGCCGGAGAAAAAGAACCATTGCACTCTTCAGGGATGTGCCCCGAGTAATGATAATCTTAAAGGACATCAAACTAGTACGAGGAGTCGAGGATGGAGGATAACATGGTACCTCCTGATCTAATGTTTCCCAGGTTCGGGACATGTTCAGCACCGACTTGTTGCAGATTGGGCACCGGTACCTGTAATTAAAAATCGACACAACACCCATTATTGGACATTCGAAAATACAAGGCTTGACTGGCTAACAAAGGGGAATTGAAGTATTTTACGAAGCGTGGGGACATTACTGGTTCTGGCTTATCATCTCGGTGTAGCAATCCATATGCATTGTATGCCCACACTTCATAATGGTTGTGCGCTTCACTGAATCAAAAAGGAACTGGAAACACAGCACAATATAATGTTGTTTTACGGAATAAGCTCCACCCCATAAAAGGAAAATAGACTATAAACATATACGTTTATATATACCTCATAGCAAATTGGGCAGTGATTCTTCATAGAGTTCTCCACGCACACATGATTATCTTTCAGATCAACCGCATAGCAAGAGCCTGTTTTATTGATTAAAAGTTAGAAAGCCTGCAGATCGATATCCAGAAGCTTGTGAAGATAATAGATTTAGGGCCTTGTAAGGAAACCAGGTGGATAAGATATTAAGATCGATGACTTATGTTCATTTAGAGAGTGGAAGATCGAGTGTCCTAATATGAAACACTAAAAAAACATTCTTTACTAAGTCGAGCATGTCACATCAAACATAAAGACAGAAACTTCCCCCAATTCAAAATTTACTTATCAAGAAGTCTGATTTACTCGAAATGCAACCATGAAAAATATACGTGCATAAATCTTAATCATCGGTATCAATATCATATAATGAGTTATATCATCATGCAACAACACTCTCCAATAACATAATTACTCCTTAAAACATCGATACTAGATTTGGTTGTAATAGTTTCCAAATCCAGAATGCAAAAGAACAAGACCAAGTGGGATATATATAGAGCATAGTAGCATACCGCACTTCTGGCAGTGAAAGAAATTTTCAGAACCTCCGACCCTGCACAATTAACATTTATATCAAAACAAGAATCAAAAGATTTATGTTGGTTGGGTAGCGATTTTGGTTTTTCTTTTTCTTTTGCAAGGGTACTTGATGGGCCATGGAAGATCATGTACCACACTCACCTACAGATCCCACAATCATTGCAGTGAAACTGCTTCTTTGATGTCTGAAATGCAAAAAGGGCCACTAATAAGTTCATCGAATTCAATGAGATTTATGCGCAAGAGATGAATATAAAGTAGCAATAAGCCAATAAACCAGTAATAAAGGTTTAGAGTCACGTAATTGGCTTGATCCAATAGAAATGCCCAACACCAAATAACGCTTACTAGCAACATCAAGAGTGACAAATGCATAAAAGTAGTACCACAATAGACCGATGCCTATTTGAACCATTGGACAATGCTATTTCAAGGATGACATGCTTCTGAGGACAGCATTTTGGAATATGGCAAATAAATTTACTAAACAAATACGGGAAAATGAGCAAAATTTACTAGACAGTTCACAAGATCGGTAAAAAATGAGCATTACCCTTTTCCAAATGAAAGGCGAAGTTAAATTCTGAGGCAACTTCTATATGAAGGAGGTTTAGGATACAAATATAGGGTGATCGACTTTCATGCCTTACCGAATGGTCTGGGTATCAGAGTATGACAGAAAGCATATGTAGGGTTGCCTTAAATTATTGTGGCTTTGGTGCAACAGAGAAAAAGTCAACTAATACATGCAGTGCTAAGAATATGACAAAAACATTGTATGATTGGTTGGTTGCAACTTGCAAGCAGCAATGACTAAATCACCGAAAAAAGTTATCTGTCCATTTTAATATGTTATCCCTTTTAATGTCTCTTGACCAAGAAAGCTAATAAGTCGGCCATATTACATCTCATTAATGATCAAAATAGTTACTTTTTACGTTAACAGGTCTAACAGTCTTTAGAAGCACCAATTTACCAAGAACATAGAAACCTTAAAGAAACACTGAAATGCAGCATATGACACAATTCAAGATCTATGAGAGACAGAGAATCAGTAACATTACATCATCATCATAAAACCTGCAGATTTCACAGAAGTACTCCCCAAATTTCACCCCACATTTCTCACAGATTCCAGCAACCTATGCAAGAACAGCAAGCACAACAGAACAAAAAGTATAATCACACATAAGAAGCCGATATGTTCGATATGCAAGAAAATCATTCAATCATAACGAGGAAAGCGAAATAAAAAAACCTGCTGCTCAGTATCACACACAGCACAAACAACCTGCAAAAATAAGTTAGAAAACAGCTTCAATTCAATCCACAGCATTGGCACTCAACAAAATCAATCAGTAAACAAGAAAGGCCTACTTGCTTAACATCATGGCGAACAAGTTCATGAGGCTCCTTGGGAAAGCTCAAACCGCTCTGATTGAAGCAGAGGGGAAAAAAAATTATGAAAAAGAACTAAACTTTACACACGACATTAACAGATAAACAATAACAAAAGCCCAATTCCATTAAAACAGATAAAATTATGCAGAAAAATTTCCAAGTTGGCACCTTGGCCTCGTTGTGACAATGGCGACAGGTGAAAACCTCGTTGCAGCACGGGGCGCGGAGTTGGCATCGTCTCCGGTAATGCTCGCATCTACAAGAACGTATATATAAAACAAAAACAACCGCAGATCACTTTACAACATAGGAAAAATCATTGGATTTCTCAACAAAAGAAAAACGACACAGAAAAAAAAATCCGAAAGAAGCACGCACCCGTAAAGCATCATCCCAAAGTCTCCCCCGGAATCGCGGGGGTGATCACCAAGTCGAGCTCCGTTACCAACGTCACCTTCTTCCATTACAGCGCCGGCGGTCCAGAAACTTTTCTCGAGTGAATAGGAGATATAGACGGAGACGGCACTGTGCCCGCTTTAATTTTTAATTACCCAAATCCGGAAACATTGCTGAAAAGGAAAAAAATTTGTGTGGGGGGGACAGGAGTAAAGACAATTAAAAAATTACTATAAACGCAAAGAAAAGAAACAAATTTAGCATTTGGGTTATGTTTGTAAATAAAAATGGGATTTTGGGTTTGTGTTTCTAAATTTAGATATGTCCAAGGTTTGGACATGAACCGACAGCCGAAACTTGGGACCGGTGGCCGTTAAAATATGTTGTTAGGTTGGGCCTCCTCCATTTCAGTGATCGAAATTGTCCGCCCAAAAAAAGACCGCAATTATATCCTACACCACGGCGCGCGTTGCACTATGCATCCAGATGCAAAACGACGTCGTTTTAATTTTTTTTTTCTAAAATTTTCCGCCCCAGTGAATGGCAGTAGTTTTTTCTTTAAAAAAAATCCACTGTTCAAGAATGTACATAATGTTATACTAGAATACACATAATTGTATACATGAATGTACATAATTATATAACAAAATATACATAGTCTTTTTAAAAGATAATACACATAATATAACATAATACATAATAAACATAAACTTTTAACATAATACACATCAACTATTAACATAATACACACAAATTTTCTGATTCGGATGTACATAATTGTATAAAAAGAATGTACATAATTGTATAAAAAATGTACATAACTGTATGAACCAATACACATAACTGTGTGAACAAATACACATAATCCCAGCAACTTCCTACCGCGCCTCCCAAAACGACGTCGTTTTGGGAGGCGCGCGGCGCACAGTCTATGTGCGCCGTGGTGTAGGGTATAACGATTGAAAAAAGACCAATGGCAAATTATTCTGCGTTGGTGGACCCGAGTCAAAAAATACGTAATTTACATACAAGTTAATTCAAACAATGGTCCTTTAAGTATAGTAATTTTTCATATTTGATCCTCAACTTTTAATTTGGACAATTTAACTATCGGATTATTAAATTTTTTTCAATTGAGGTCCTTCCGTCAAAAGCAGGTTAAATGTACGTCAAGTTAAGGTGAGCATCGTTTTGATTTCTCTGTCACTCCAATAATGGCTTCTCCTCCTCCGATTTCGACGAGAGCATCGTTTCCTCGCCGGTGCCGGCGGCTAAAATGTTGTCGCCCCAAGATTTGCCGATTGTGCTATATAAGCGCTTGCCGAAAAAGGGAAAGTTTTTGCAGGCGGTGATGAAAGCAGGGCTGCTTCTTCAGACTCTTTTGCTGGCTGGCCCTATCCCCTATTGGCGCCACCCTCCTCCGCCCATGAACTCTTACCGGATTCCACCGCCACCCGTCACCATTCCAACTCCTTCACCGCCGCCGACTAACTTTTTCCCTCCTTAAGATTCTCTTCTAAGCTTGAGTTTCAAGGGGTGCTGTGTTTTCTGGAGTTTCTAGGGTTCGAACCGTGTATACATAGGGGAACAATGAGGAAATGTACACAAAGAACTTGAAATGACGCTTTTATCCCTCAAATTGACGTTCACTTAACTAGCTTTTAGCGAAAGGACCTCAATTGGAAAGAATTTGATAGTCAGATAGTTAAATTGTCCAAATTAAAAGTCAAGGACAAATTGAAGAAAATCACTATACTCGGGGGACTATTGTTGGAATTAACTCTTTACATACTAAATATTCACAACTTATATACTGAATGCATGTTCCCAATTTTACATACTAAATGTTTATAATTTACATACTAAATGTTCACAATTTAAACTGTGAACATTCAGTATGTAAATTGTGTATTTTAGATCCGGGTCCATGGTACAACTGTTGAAGACCAATATTGGGAAGCTATTAAGCAAAAAAAAAAAAAAAACGATATTTACCCTCACAGTCGAGCTTGTCATTTTAGTGCGATTTACACTGGCCTTGTTTGACAATCCGCGGTAAGCGGTTCACGGATAACATATTGTGTTAGCGGGTTTGACAGCGGACTGTATCAGCAGTTTGTAAAGAGATATTTGGTAAAATTAGATGTTTAGATTAACAGTTAACATTTAAAAAGACATAAACCAAGTGGCTTGTAGTCCACTGGTATTGGGTTGCTCCCTTAAGTGGGAGGTGATAGGTTTGAACCTTAGTGTGTATATATATGTAGGGTATCCCTCTTCTAAAAAAAAAAAAAAAAAAAAAAAAAGAAGACTTAAAAGGACATTCATAACAACAACATAATAATAATAATAATAATAATAATAATAATAATAATATTATTATTATTATTATTATTATTATTATTATTATTATTATTATTATTAACTTTATTATGTAATAATAAAATAAAAATAAATAATACTCTGTAGCAAGATAAAAATAATAATTATTATAACAAGACAATAATAATAATAATAATAATAATAATAATAATAATAATAATAATAATAATAATAATAATAACAAAAATAATAAATAAATAAATAAATAAATAAATAAAAATAAAAAAACAAACAAATAGATGTAAGATTAATTTTGATTCCACATCAAAACTCGAAAGTAGAAGAGAAACTTCATCCCCATCCATCCAACCTTCCCCATCTGATGTGTTCCCACATCGGTTGGGGAAGGTAAAAGGAGTTGAGCCTAATAAGGCTCTTTTATTAAATGAGTCTTAGGTTCGTTAGAAGTTAAATATTTATTATTATTATTATTATTATTATTATTATTATTATTAGAGGGTGTTTTATGAAAGATAAATCTTTCTTCAAAACACTAACTCCAAACGCTTATTTTGTAGCACATTTGGAATTTCAGCTCTACATGATTGAGATAATAGTAACGATTGATTTTAATTTTCTGATCACCAAAAATAATTTATATTCAAAAATATTTTTTAAAAAAGTAACATTATTAGTCTGACCCTTAACCATATAATTAACCCGACTAACAAGAATATATATATATATATATATATATATATATATATATATATATATATATATATAGTCTATCACATCTTAGTATTATTTTTAATAGTTATTATAATTTAATTACACTAATGATCAAATGATTACCCTTGACCGATTGTTCATATTTATTATATATGGTAAAATCTTCATTTTTCTAACCATTAAAAAGTAATTGAAAATAAAAGTTTGTAATCTAAAATTATTTTTTCAATCACTTTTTGTATTCAAAAAAACATATTTTGATATTATTAACCATTCATTAGAATCACCTAATAAAATTGTCGAAAAACTTAAACCACTAAAGTCACGTACACTACCCATGATTGTGAATGTTTATGACCAATTAGAGGTCAAATAATAATAATAATAATAATAATAATAATAATAATAATAATAATAATAATAATAATAATAATAACCACACATGTTTGCAATATAATTTTTGCAATTATTTTATTCCTAAAAGATGTATGTATTGATGAATTCAAAGAAAAAAAAAGATATTATATTCGTTGTATCGATTTAAAAAACACAAAAAAAATATTAGTGATATGATGATAATATGATATTCATATTCCATGTGCCCATACACTAAACACCTCACAGTACAGTCTATGATATTATATTCCTCTCTTATATCCTCCATCCATGTATATCTTGGTTTTCGTGACTAGTAGTCTAGGAGATTATCAAAGAATATAATCTGCTTTATTACATTCTATTCCGCAAATTATATCGTGGACGTGCGTGCGTCTTAAGAGGTTGTGTATTATGTTAAGAGTTATGTATATTATATTAAAAGTTTATGTGTATTATATATGTTAAGAGTTTATATGTATTATATATTATGTTAGATTATACGTATTATATTAAGAGTTTATGTGTATTCTACTATACAATTATGTACATACGAAATAAGAAATTTTTAGAACGTACAATGCAAATGTACCTAGTGCACGATATAACAATTGATTCTATTCCCTTCCAACTTAGCTAATTGCAAGAACAAATGCAGAAGCTCACCCCATCTATCAACTCAGTCTTCAACAAACCTTCCTATAGCTAGCAATTGAAAGACAATATATTCCAACCAATATGGAACTGTCTTCCATATTTGTGCAAATATGTATGGTAGCAGTTCAACCTGTTAAGTCGTTTCGTATCTGTTGATGTCTCATTCATGTCTTATGCGTAATTCTGTCAGAGTAGACTCAAAACTAACTTTTATATGGTATAATTATAAGATTTTTAATTTGGTCATAAAGTCACACTTGCCCATGGTGCGCTATTTCTAACTGGACCATTGGTATATGGTTAATTTTATTTTAACGTGGGTGATCTAACAGATCAATTTTTCTAATGACCTTTGTTACTTTGGTGATTGGTGTTTGCAATTAGCTTTGGTGTATTGTCATGCGTGATTGAATGGTAAATGTTATGTTTCAAATAAAAGCATTTATACACAATGTTGCAGAAGGCCATAAGCGCTAGTCAGGCACTCGAAGGGCGCCTAGTGCCTAGACGTTGTTTAGGAGGCCGAGTAATCGAGTATATCATCTACACTTTTCCCACTTAGGGAGGGAGTTAATTGTTAGACTGTTATAATCGTCTAAACTAGTCAACTGCATATGTTAGATGGTACATGACTAGAGAAATATAGAAGATGAGTGACCAAGAAGTAAAAAACACCATTCGACCGAGTTGAGCGCAAACTCGGCTGAGTTGGGCACTAATGCCAATTTAGGCGCCCAACTCAGCACCTAGTCAGCCGCCGAGCGCTGAAATCGCCTCGGCCAAGGGATGTTTAGCGCCTAGGCAATCGTCTTGGTTGATTTTTACAACACTGTTTATACATTATATGTTCAACATGCCCCTAATTACGTGTATGAATTGATTACTATACATGGACATATGACGTTTTGCATGAGTCTACTTCTCATACCAAATTAAATAATGTGTTTGGTCTAAACTAAAAGTTTAACTTAATAGTTCAACCATATATATATATATATATATATATATATATATATATATATATATATATATATATATATATATATATATTCGGTAATAATAATAAAGGATTTTTTGATTTTCTAAAATTACCAAAATGACTATTTTCAACCGAAACTCAAAATTTGGACCACATTTTAGTTGTTAGAAATAGCAAGTTTTTGCACCAAAACCACTATGAAAAGATAATTAAATTCCTTTTATATGATGGAAATAACTAAAGTTCATTCTTTATCTAGACATATGAAGTTATAGGACTAATAGCTAAAGTGTACTGTGCTTTTTATATTCTTTGAGTTTAATACCAACAATATGTTTTG